TTGTTCGTTCTTATTCTCTCGTTCTTTCATTCTTTCGTTCTTTCGTTTGTTCTGTCTTTCTTTCTTTCTGTCTGTCTTTCTGTCTGTCTGCCTGCCTTTTTGTCTTTCTGTCTGTCTTTCTGTCTTTCTGTCTGTCTGTCTTTCTGTCTTTCTGTCTTTCTCTTTCTGTCTGTCTGTCTCTTTCTGTTTTTGTCTGTCTGTCTTTCTGTCTGTCTTTCTTTCTGTCTCGGTCTTTGTCTGTCTTTCTGTTTGTCTTTCTGTGTGTCTGTCTTTCTATCTTTCCGTCTGTCTGTCTGTCTATCTTTCTGTCTGTCTTTCGTTCGTTCGTTCTTTCGTTCGTTCCTTTGTTCTTATTTGTTCATTCATTTTTCGTTCTTATTCTCTCGTTCTTTCATTCTTTTCGTTTGTTCTTTCGTTCTTTCGTTTGTTCTGTCTTTCTGTCTGTCTTTCCGTCTTTCTGTCTTTCTGTCTGTCTGTCTTTCTGTCTCTGTCTTTCTGTCTGTCTGCCTGCCTTTTTGTCTGTCTTTCTGTCTGTCTTTGTCTTTCTGTCTTTCTCTTTCTGTCTGTCTGTCTCTCTCTTTGTCTTTCTGTCTGTCTGTCTTTCTGTCTGTTGTTCTTTCTTTCGTTCATTCTTTCTTTCGTTCGTCCTTTCGTTCATTCTTTCATTCTTATTTGTTCATTCATTTGTTCGTTCTTATTCTCTCGTTCTTTCATTCTTTTGTTCGTTCGTTCTTTCGTTCTTTCGTTTGTTCTGTCTTTCTGTCTGTCTTTCTGTGTCTTTCTGTCTGTCTCTGTCTTTGTCTTTCTGTCTGTCTTTCTGTCTTTCTGTTTGTCTGTCTTTCTGTCTATCTCTCTATCTTTCCTTCTGTCTGTCTATCTTTCTGTCTGTCTTTCGTTCGTTCTTTCGTTGGTTCTTTCGTTTATTCTTTCGTTCTTATTTGTTCATTCATTTGTTCGTTCTTATTCTCTCGTTCTTTCATTCGTTCGTTCTTTCGTTCTTTCGTTTGTTCTGTCTTTCTGTCTGTCTTTCCGTCTTTCTGTCTTTCTGTCTGTCTGTCTTTCTGTCTCTGTCTTTCTGTCAGTCTGTCTGCCTTTTTGTCTTTCTTTCTGTCTGTCTTTGTCTGTCTTTCTGTCTTTCTCTTTCTGTCTGTCTGTCTCTTTATATCTTTGTCTGTCTGTCTTTCTGTCTGTCTGTCTTTCTGTCTGTCTCTGTATTTGTCTGTCTTTCTGTCTGTCTTTCTGTCTGTTGTTCTTTCGTTCGTTCGTCCTTTCGTTCATTCTTTCGTTCTTATTTGTTCATTCATTTTTTTCGTTCTTATTCTCTCGTTCTTTCATTCTTTTCGTTTGTTCTTTCGTTCTTTCGTTTGTTCTGTCTTTCT